CACCATTATTCAAATAAATCAATTATTGTCAAATCTTATTTATTGTCCAGCTTTCAAATGACATCAAATTATGGAAAATGTCAGGGGATGGCTCAGGAGCAATTTAGTCCTCACAGTGATATTTTCCACTTTTAAATAGGCTTGTGTAGCACATTAGTCTAATGCAATTCATTATTTGATTTCTTGACTGCTACACCCATGAACTTTGACTATGGATCCAAATAAAGTCCTCGACAACTTCAATCTTAATTTATCATGATATTATCAACTGGGACAGTTGTGGGTTTTTAAATTTTTCTTTATATTGAGTTGTAATCCATAGTGAAGGCTATATATAGCCTTTTATCTTCATCAGTAAGTGTTTCAAGCCCTTTTGGCTTTCATCAAGCACTACTGTATCATCTACATGCTCTATGCTTTAATGAACCTTCCTCCAATTCTGATGTGGTGTTCTTCTCCATAGAAATAAATAATGTTTGTTTAATATGATGAAGTTGGGATCGTAATATTTCCCCTGAAGTGTTCATTCTATGGAGTCTTTGAGGGTAGCCACATATGATTGTGCCTATATTGCTTTGAAGGCTAAAAGTGGCTGTCTCCTTGGAATTGAAACAAACAAAAATAGGTTTTAATAGATTAATTTGCTAATACTTCTCCCATACTTGTTTCTTAATACATATTCAATAAATACTAATATGTTCAAAAAAGGTATTATTTAAATACAAGAAAACATCTGAGGAATATCTAGGTTTAAGAATATCCTTCAGATTATGAATATTCTGTACTTAGCTATGAAGAATAAATCTCTCACCCTTGTCTTCTCCAGATAATTTTTCAGGTTCTCCAGGTAGTTCTAGTGGAGAAAACAGTACAATTTCTCTCTTAACTACATACAGTGTATCATATTTTCTCTCACCTCCCTTTATCTATTTTAGTTCTTGAATTGACTCCAACATACTTCAAATAATCTCACACATGTGTACATATTTCATTTCTTTTGTCCATTTTTCCTTTCTCTTTTTACCCATTTGCTTCCTACTGAACATAGATGATTGCCTCATATGCATGTAAAATGAGCCCTTACTCAGAGAAGGAGTAAGGAAGACCAAAAGAGGATCGATACGTTTGCATTGTGGTTCTGGAGAAGACTACTGAAAGTGCCCTGACAGCATTAGAAGATGTACAGCCAGAATGCTACTTAGAGGCAAGAATGGCAAGACTTAGCCTCATGTACTTTGGTCATGTTGTCAGGAGACAACAGTCATTGCTTGGTAAAATAGATGGGCAGAGAAAAAGAAGAAAACCCTTGAAAAGATGGATTGACACAGTGGCTGAAACAATGAACTCAAACATAAGAACAACTGTGATGATGGTACAGAATTTTGTTGTACATAGGTTTGCTATGTGTTGCAACTGACTCAACAGCGTCTAACAACAATAATAATATTAAAATAGTGTTCTTTTCTATTGTGTTAGGAATGCTTTTCTTAGGTATTTATAGAGGTCTAAATACAGGCATGTACATCTGTAAATATATTTATAAGGGGTGGTGGGGAAATAGATCTACATGCATATATTTATAGGTTTAG